TGACGCGGTACGAGCTTGTTCTCTGAATGTGCCCGACCTGGAGCGCTTTGTCGCCGATGAGATAGCTCACGGGAAGGGAGCCATGTCCTGGCACTGAGGGATGAGTGCGCCTGCGTCCCCCTGCGGGGCTTGCGCTCCGGTTCCTGTGTTGGGTGAATTTACAATAACAGTTAATGTTTACTGAGGGTTTACTGTGTGCGAGACACTGAGCTGCTTGTTTTATATTATCCCATTTAATCTCAACCTGCAGGATAAATATTATGATTTCCATTTTATTGGGACGAACCCGAGGTACAGAGAGGTCAGGTCAGGCTCCCAGGGCCGTAAAGTCAGGAGGTGGTGAAGCCAGATCAGCACCAGCTTCGCACCTGCTGAGCACGTGTCCCGGAGCCCACACCCCATTTCCCCAGAGTCCTCCTGCGCTGCAGGCTGTTGTAGGTCCCACTTTGTGGAATGATATAGTTTCATTATTTTTTTCCTTTTCTGTTTCCAGAAATTAAGCATATTTCATATGACTCATTCCTGGGTGGTGAATATGGTAGTAGATTCTCATATTTTACTATACGTATTGAAGTCTATAAACCAAGGGTTTATAATGGTTATGTTGGCCTGAAAATTTGCTGATAGAGCTGTACGGGCTACATATAAATCAGCCTATCGTCAGAGAGGTGTGCTCTTAAAGCAAACAGTCGTTGACTTATCCACTCCACCCTGCCACGTTCATTTAAGTGAAAGTATTTTTTTAAACACCAGAGTTTTGGTGTTTTGCGGCTGTTTGCAGTAATAATACAGGTCTCTCCTGACTGCCATAACCCTAGCCCAAATGCATTTTGTTTTGAATTCTTAATCCTTTAAGAATAAAGTTATAAATTTAAGGCTAGTATTCCCAAGTCTGCTTGGTGCTGTGACACAGAACTATGAGGGGGTTTGACCAGGTGACCTGGGATAGGAGGGAGCTACGCTGCTTAACCCCTCTGTGTCATGGTCTGCCTTATAACTCACCAGTTTTGCTGGACTTTTTCGTGATTTTTTCTCCCATCCTAAGTTCCGTGCCCCGATCTGTTCTGTATCAGACACAACACAAAAGGCCAAACGCATAGGAACTACTTAATAAGCATTGTGAACAGCTTTTAGTAGAACTGCATGTATTTATTTTTCAAAGGTTTATTTATTTATTAGAGAGAGAGCGTGAGGGCCGGGGTGGGGGGGCAGAGGGAGAAAGAGAACCTCAAGCAGGCTCCGCACTGAGCATGGAGCCTGATGCAGGACTCGATCCCATGACTTGGAGCTGAAATCCAGAGTCAGAAGCTCAGTCGACAGAGCCGCCCAGGGCCCTTGAATGGGTTTTAGAATTTTAAAGTGTTCAACTAAATTAATGAGAGATTTACTAATCTGTGTAAAGTCAACACTTTTTTCCTTGAGAAATCGTTTTTTATTGTCTGGAATTCATGTTAGTCATCTAGCATTTTAATTTAAAGGCATTTCTATGGCCACTAACTCTTCTCCAGCCGAACGTATCTTGAGATAACTGTAGGTTCATGTGCAGTTGCAAGATGTGATGGGGATTTCCCACGTACTCTGTTTTCCCCACCGGCAGCATCTTGTAAAGCCACAGTACAGCGTCAGCCCCAGGATACTGACCTTGACACAGTCGGGATACACAACAGCTCCATCACCACGAGTGACTTCCTTCTTGCCCTCTATAACCACACCTCCTCCCTCCCTCCCACCTCACCCCTCTTTAACCCTTGGGAACCAGTAACTGTTCCCTGTTTTTGTAATACCGTCATTTCAGGAAGGTTCTGCAGATGCATCACAGAACACGTCTTTGGAGATTGGCTGCTTTCGTTCAGTGTAGCTGTCTGGAGAGCCGTCCAGGAGGTTGCATGACTCAGCAGCTCATCCCTTTTTATTGCCGAGCAGATTCCGGGGTGTGAGTGGAGCACAGATCATTTAATTGTTCACCTGCTGAAGGGCATCTGGGTTGTTTCCAGTTTGGGGCTGCTCTGAATACAGCTTCATAAACGTTCGTGCACAGGCAGTGTGTGAATGTGACTTCTCATTCCTCTGGGCTAAGTAAGTGTCCAGGAGGAGGGTTGTGAGGTCAGATGCTAATTGCATATTAGTTTTTAAAGAAATGGCCGAACTCTTTTCCATAGGAGCCGTTCCACCTTACACTCGTACCAGCCGGGTATGAGTAATCGTGTTTCTCTGCGTCCTCACCAGCATGTGACGTTGTCACGATTTTTTTTTTTTTAAGATTTTATTTATTTATTTGACAGAGATCACAAGTAGGCAGAGAGAGAGGAGGAAGCAGGCTCCCTGCTGAGCAGAGAGCCCGATGCGGGGCTTGATCCCAGGACCCTGGGATCATGACCTGAGCCAAAGGCAGAGGCTTTAAACCACTGAGCCACCCAGGCGCTCCCTTTTTTGTTTTTTAAGCCATCCTGGCAGTGATATCTCATTGTGGCTTTATTTTGAATTGCCCTGGTAAGTAATGACTTTGACCCTCTTTTCATGTGTTTATTGGCCATCATGTATCCCCTTTGATGCAGGGTCTGTGTCTTTTGTTCATGTCTAATTGGAGTGTTTGCTTTTTGCTGATGAGTTTTCAGAGTTTATATATTTAGATACTAGTCCTCTGTCAGACACTTGGTTTGAAAATATGTACTTTCACTCTCTAATTTGTCTTTCAACCTCTCAGTAGGATCTTCTGCACAACAAATATTTTTAGTTGTGATAGAGTGTACTTTATCAATTTTTCCTTTAATGAATCATGCTTTTTGGGGACAGTGTGAGAACTCTTTGTTTGGCCCTAAATTCCAAAGATTTTCCTCTAGTTTTTTTCCTAAAAGTTTTGTGGTTTTACATTTTATATTTAAGTCAGTGATCCATTTTGAGTTAATTTTTGAGTAAGATAGGAGACTGAGGTCAAGGTTCCTTTTTCCTTGTGGATATCTAGTTGTTCTAGTACCACATATTTAAAGACTCTGTTTCCTTCATTGAATTGCTTTTTATACCTTTTTCAAAAATCAGCTGGGCGGGGGCACCTGGGAGGCTCACCCAGTTAAGTGGCTGACTTTGGCTCAGGTCATGACCTTGGGGTCCTAGACCGAGCCCCACATTGGGCTCCCTGCTCAGGGTAGACTCTCCTTGTCCCTCTCTTTCTCCCTCTGTCCCATGCTCTGTTCATGCTATGTGTCTCTTTCAAATAAATACCAATTTAAAAAAAAACAAACTGTTGGGTATGTTTGGGAGGGTCTTTTTCTAGATTCTTCATTCTGTTCCATTGATCTGTGTGTCTGTCCTGCCGGTACCACACAGTTTTGATTGCTCTAACTATAAAATCCCAAAATTGGATGGACTGATTCCTCCCTCTTTATTCTTTTCTAAAACAAATGTTCTAGCTATTCTAGTTCCTTTGCCTTCCCATATAAATTTTAGGATAATCTTGTCTATATTTCCAAAAAATTTGGTTAGGATTTTGATAGGAATTTTGTTAAACTTGTATATCAACTGGGGGAGAATTGACATCTTTACAATATTTGAATCGTTCAGTTGAGGAACATGGTATGTCTTTCCATTTATTTAGGTCTGCTTTGATTTCTTTCATCCACATTATGTAATTTTCAGTACACAAGTTCTGTACATACTTTGTTAGATTTACACCTAGGCATTTCTCTCTTTTGTTTACATATACAGCTGTGAATGACACTATTTTTAATTTCAGTGTCCATGTGTTGATAGTATGTAGGAATATAACTGATATTTTATGTTTTATCTTGTCTCCTGCCACCTTGCTGAACTGACGGGTTTATGAATTTTACCGTTTGTTGCTCCCCCTGTTTATTGAATAGTTTGTGCGTGCCAGGCATCACGTGAGGGCTTTCCACGTGCTTGCCGAAGCCCGGGAGGCCGGGGAGCTGGCCACTTGGCGGGTGGGTTAGCCAGTCACTCCATTTGTTCATCTGACAAATATCTAAGGAGAACCTCTTGTGGGGGGATGCAGGCAGGGGCTCCTGCCCGCCCGGAGCCTGCAGCCTGAGGCTGGCATTACCAGTAATGCAGATGGTTGTGTCACTTAATAAAACCAGTTCATTAGTTATACTTGAATTAAAAGCGGCCAACTCAAACTGTGAGTGGGTGAGGCAGTGACACCTTAGCCAGCGTGATGGAGTGGGAGCATCCAGGGAGGGCTTCCTAGACGATGTCCATCTCCTAGGAAAGGTTTTCCAAGAAGCCAAACTATTCATTGCTTCTCACCAACTTGCATCAGCTTCTGAAATTCGGAGAGGCCTGTGATAAAAGCTCACATGAAGAGAATTCCTGGCCAGAACTGAGTGAAGTTCTCAGTTGCTGCTGTCTCTTTTGCTGCACCCCTCTGGCCCCCATACCTGGGTTCCCACAAAGGGCACCAGGCCGCCTGGGTCCCCTGACCAGCCCGCTCTGTCCAGCCCTTCTTATTCAGCGGGCCCGCTGCCCAGCTTGGTGCTGTCCACCATGTCCTCCTTTGCAAACCTCCCATCCCTTCACTCCCACACCAGTAGTTTTCCTCCTCTCTGAAGGGTTCCTTTCCCCCTTTCTTGGGGAGATGGGTTGCAGAGTCCTTTGAGATGGAAAGGAGGCCCATGCAAGGACTGAGACGCAGGGGGTCAGGGCCGCTTTCTGCCAGTCTGTCTGGGAAAATCATCAGCGTCCCTCAGTTCTGGTGACAGTAACTACAGTAAGCTTCTGGCCAGTTGGGAAAGAAATCTTACTACATAGAACTGTGCCCCTCTGACAGCCTTCCAGGTGAAGACCCCTGTACCTCTGAGAAGAAAAGGGATGGACCGTCACTGGGCACAGTGTTGGTCCCCGCACCTCACTTGGTACCTCAGGGCTGCTGCTGGCTCGAGCCAGTGCGGTCCCAGCTCCCATGACTCTCTACCCTCAGCAGGTCCCTGTCCTGCCTCAGGAGTGAGGATGCTTCCTTCGCTGTCTGTTTTCCCCACTGACTGTAGGAGAAGTCGCTTGTCTTTGAGGCCGCGTGGAAGAAGGAGAAGGACATAGTTTCCAAGGAGATCGAGAAGCTGCGCGTGTCCATCCAGACCCTGTGCAAGAGCGCGCTCCCCCTGGGGAAGATCATGGACTACATCCAGGAGGATGTGGACGCCATGCAGAATGAGCTACAGCTGTGGCATAGTGAGAACAAGCAGCACGCCGAGGCCCTGCAAAAGGAGCAGAGGTGGGCGGGGGCTGGGGGTGGGGTGGGTGCTGCTGAAGGAGCAGAGGTCGGTGGGGGCCCGGGGGGGACGGTGTTGCAGAAGGAGCAGGGTGGAGGGGCTGAGGAGGGTGCTGCGGAAGGAGCAGAGTTGGGACCCATGGTTGGGGGGCTGCAGAAGGAACAGAGGTTGGTGGGGGGCCAGGGGCAAGGCTGTGCAGAAGAAGCAGAGGTGGGCGGGGGTGGAGGCTCAGGGAGCCCAGGGGGATGCCTCCCAAGGAATCCCCCTACCCCTCCACCCCACCCCCCCACCCCAAGGAAGTATTTTCCTTCTGCATTTGTATGGCACAGGGCACGCCTTTGCAGCCTTGAGGAAAGTTATGGCGTTAACGTTCACACGCAAGTGGTACAGGCAGTAAACAATATGGGGATCTTTGCAGTATGGGAATTATTGTTTTACGTGTCTTACCAAAATCCCCAAAGTTTGGTAACTGTTTGTACTTCGAAAGTATTTTAATTTTTTACTCTGAAAAGAAATAAATGCTGGTGAGCCCATTTTGAAGTTGCTACTGTAAAGGAAATATAATGGCTACTAAAAAGAGATTTATTTTAGGGGAATGTTTGATGTTCTATGTTTATAATCAGGGAATCTGGAATGCATGACACTTTATTACTTGTTGTTGTCCAGAAACGACCTGAGTGGAACCGGTGCTCGTCTGCAAGCCCGGCGATAAAATGCTGTGTGATAAGAAAGCTGCTGTCTTTATTATCAGCCTGCTTACTCCTAAAAAATCCTTAAAAGTTTAAATGTCCAGCATTAGAAGAGTTAGGAAATCTCCGAGAACTTTTTGGTGCCGAGCCCAGTATGGTGATTTGTCGGCCCTTCCTACACTTGATTTTAGGTCTAAGAAGTAGCACGCAGATGCTTCTTCCTGAAAGAACCTGAGTTCGCTTTGTGGTAGGATGGTTGGAAATCATCACTCTTCGTTTGTTTTGTTTGTTTTTTATATAGAGTCTTTTTAAAGATTTTTATTAATTAGAGAGAGAGCATGCACATGAGCAGGGGGAAGGACAGAGGGAAAGTGAGATGCAGACTTCTCTCCGAGCAGGGAGCCTGACTCGGGGCTCCATCCCAGGACCCTGAGACCATGACCTGAGCCGAAGGCAGATGTTCAACTGACTGAGCCATCCAAGTGTCCCCATCACTCATTTTTGTACTTATTTTGTATTTACATGTTTAAAAAACTAAAGGAGAGGCCAGTTTGATCTTTGCTTTCCCAAATGTGTTCTAGATCTTTCCTGGCAGGTAATCCGGCACTGAAAGGCCTCATGCCTGGAACTTGTGAGTCGGAGGGGCCTGGGTAGGGAAGCCCTGGTGGTTGGATGAACCTGCTTGGGGGACGGTGGGGTTCGTGTCAGGCTGCCGGGACCATGGCCCTTGTTGGTAGCCGCGCTGCTCCCCTCCCTGCTGTCCCAGGGCTCTGCTCTATGTGACGTGAGGCTTTAGAAAGAGTAGGCTGCTTAGTAGATTGGCATGTTTGACTTTACTTTTGGCTGGGGGAGGGTAAAATAATGTTTTTCCCAGGTGTGAGGACCTCGTCCCTTTATATTCTTATCTGAGTGTGTTTATATTTTTACCCTTTTTCTTTGGATGCTGCGAATAACTTAACTTTTGTCATCTTTGATTGTTTCAATCAATAAGGTGCTCTAGGGTGCCTGGGTAGCTCAGTTGGTTGAGCATCTGCCTTCAGCTCAGGTCATGATCCTGGAGTCCTAGGATTGAGTCCCGCATCAGGCTTCCGGCTCCATAGGGAGTCTGCTTCTCCCTCTGACCTTCTCCCCTTTTATTCTCTCTCTCTCTCTCTCTCACTGGATAAATAAAATCTTAAAAAAAAATAAATAAACAGCTCTAAGCTGAGCCCGGCACTCACGAGCCCCTGTGTTGTGTCCCACCAGCATCACAGATGGTGCAGTCGAGCCCCTGAAGGCCGAGCTGGCTGAGCTGGAACAGCTGATCAAAGACCAGCAGGACAAGATCTGTGCCGTGAAGGCCAACATCCTGAAGAACGAGGAGAAGATTCAGAAAATGGTCTACAGCATCAACCTGAGCTCGAGAAGGTGAAGCTCACATGTTTCCAAAGCTGGAAGTCCTCCTCAGTCTGAAAATAAAAAGGAAGATAGAACGTCACCACTCTCTCAGTTCAGTTTCCTGAGAAAATGAAGCTTTCCGTGTCCTCCCTCCAAGGTGCAGAGCTCTGAAAACGCAGGCACATCTGTGTGTTGAGGGCCGTGTTCTGTCCCCTTCCTCCAGCGGGGGTGTTGCCTGCCGTGCGGACGTGTTCTCTGCGTCTCCGTGAGGCCCGTTGTGCTCAGGGCCATGCCAGAAGTCGCTAGCAGGTGAGTGGGGGTGGCACACAAGGAAGCCATGTCCTCAGTTTCGGGTTTTACGGCTGGTGACAGGACCCTGAAGGGAGGGGAGTGAAGGGTGGCTGCCTTCTGACGGCACTTACAAACAGAAATGGGGCCTGACCACGAGTCCGCTCTGTTTTGAGTTCATTTCCCCTTGGAAAGGGTTCATTTCAGTCTGTATCTTTATAAGGTACACCTGAGGTTTTTTTTCTTAAAGATCTTTGCAACTGTGTATACCTCTTTGTCATTTTCTCATTCGTCCCTATGGCCTCTTGCTTGTGTTTGCAGCCTTAAAGTTCATATATTTAGGAGATTTCAGTATGTCCTTCATGGACATTCGGCCCCAGGGTTTTCCCCACGTAGGTAGCAGTGAGCTGCTCTGGGCCTGTACTCGCCTGGGCCTGTGGCCTCGGTGTCTTTCCTGGTCCTTCCCGTAGATGTGCATTCTAGAGAGGCCCGTAGCTCGAGGCAAACAGCTGAAGGAATACTTCAGGGGACACACCAATTTGCAACATTTTTTGATGTTACCATTTTTTTGGAAATTATTTTGTAAAACAAGGTTTTTTTAGAATGTGGTTTATATTAAGTTTTTCACTCACATTTGATAATTGTAAATACTAAAAAAAGTCTGAAGTTTGTATATAAAGGATTCCAGAGTTTGGAGGCATACGGTTCATATGGTCTGGGTCCTGATGCTGTTATTTCTAGACACTTACGGTGTGAACCATGCAGTGCCATTTAAATGTTAGAATTGCCTGAGAAAGTTCTGCTTCTTTAAGTCTTAGCACAAATGCACAGATTAGGTTTCCTTACTGTCATTTCCCAAAAGAAATCCTTTTCTGAGGTGGTTATGTGATTTTACCAAGCTGAATCAGTTTAAGGTCAGATTATGAAACTCTGCTGTTTTGACACATTGGTCACTTGGTCATTTCTATGCTGCACCGTAAAATTGATCAGATTGTACTAAATGCATTATTGGAGGCGGGAGGGTGTCCGTTAACAAGTCCCCCCATGTGCTTTTCTCTCTTCTTCTGATTTGAATGACTTAGACATAACCCTAAATGGACAGTTTTGCTTCAAGATGTGTTTGCCTTTTATGAATTTGTACATTGTACACGAATAGGATTTTTGCATTGCAAAAAAAAATTGCATACATTTTATGTGAGTAAAATTTTGTATGAAGTAGTTTATTGAATTGTATCATAAAATTTATTTTTATTTTATACATAAATCATTAAAAACAGTCACATATTTTTTCTATAAGTGTATGGGTTGCACAATTCACTTCACAGCTAGAGAAAATATAAGCATTTGGATTTTTGTATTTTCACATGTATATTTTATTTTTCTTGTGAAGAAAGTTCAGGGAAATTTATCTTTTCATTCCTATCATGACACTTAATCCATGTTCTGTATGAATTAAAGTTTTATAAGACTGATAAGCATTTGTCAGAAATTTCAAGGTCTCTCATGAAGTTTTAGACAGTCTCTGTGATGATTGTGGTATCATATCAGAGACACATTAAGTCCTGATATTATCTGTTACTTTGAGAAAGTATGCAAGGGGGTTATTAAACCTTTAGCTCTGCTTTGGCTTGGACCTTTCCAGGAAGTATGGGATCTCACTGCGGAATTTTAATCTAAAAGTAGAGCTGACATTAATTTATATTCAAAGAAAATGTGTAAACCTTTGGGGAAAAAATTCAGGACTAAAATGTGAACTTTCTGCTTTGATAGTCATGCTTATTTTTCTTTTCAATAAGCAATTTAAACAAATACTGGTGACAGGTTGGTGACGAGAGATGATGTCACTCAGTGACATGGAGTGTGTTTGGGATGTTGGGTGGTCTGGAGTCCCACCCTGTGTCCTGACCGGCGCCCCAGAGCATGCTTGCCCTCCTTGTCTGCGCTGTGCCGAGCTGACTGCGTCTGTCTGCTCTTGGTGCGCAGGGTCAGGGCACACGAGTGGGTCAAGGGCAGCGGGGCTAGACCAACCTGTGTGCGAACACGCAGATGTCCATGGTCACAGGCTTGGCATGACCAGCTGCGGGAGCTTCCACGAGCATCAGCTTCAGTGGAGGCCATGCAAAACAAGACCGTGGGTTGGCATGCCCACTGTGAGGGTGCCCCCAGCTCCAGGATCTTCCGTGCCTACCCAGCGATACCTCCCTAGGAGCCAGTCACAGCCTCGAGGGCAGGCTTCCTGCCATGCAGCAGGGGACTGGCCGGAGGGAGCCGGGCAGTCACGTGATCTGCTGAGGAGGGAGGTGGGAGGCGGGAGCGCCCCCTCAGGACCAGAGGAGACTTGTGTCCTCCCCTCCGGCTCTGAGTTGAACCATCTCACGATGCACTTTATATAAATCTTTTCTATTTTCCCAAAAGGTGTCTTGGTAAGTGTAGTTTTACCAGCCTTGCAGTGGAGCAAAAGTGAGGCCCTGTTTGCTTGTTTTGGGGGTTTTCATGAAGGAAGATTGGGAAGGACTTTTTTTTTAATTTGGCTAGTGAAGGGAAATGTAAATGGTTTTTAAACTGTAACCTTTTTAAGCCGTATTTAGAGCTGAGTTCCAAATTGACAATCAGCTTCTTAAACCAGGCAAGTGGTCTTCCTGGTAAGAAAATGGGGTTCAGACAGTGCAGTCCATGAACCATTAGGAAGTTGGGCCCAGTGAGGTGGGCAGGGGGGGTGGTCGGGCTGCGTAAGCACCTGTGGTCCCAGCGCCTGCTGCTATTCCCCGAGACCCCGGTGCCTCCTGCCAGCCTGTCGGGAGGAGTGGAACAGTGGGGCCGGCACACTGGACCTCCCAGCGCCTGTGATGGCCTTTGCGGTTTTCTCACGTCTCCGTGCAGGTCTCAGGAACAGCTCTGTGATGCTGCTGTCACCACGATAGAGCAGTTAGGTTTCCCCACCAAAACCTCCATCAAGGCCAGTATTCTACTGGACGACACCAGCTGGTGTGTGTAGGACTCCATGCCAGGTCATTGGTGTAGACACTTGTGGTGCTTACAGTCCTCGCCTGGGCTCCGGGGGTGCTGGCAGGCCCCTGGATGGTGGTCACCATCCTGATCTGCTCAGGGCACATGCAGCTCTGGCTTCTCTCGAAGTGAGAATTTAACAGCATCCCCCTGCCACCTGCAGCCACATTCTGGTTTGGACAGCAGATGACGTGCCCCTCTTCCTATTGGAAACCTGCCATGCCTGGTGGCGTGTGGCTGCCAAGAGGCAGCAAGGGCTCTCGGGTGCCCACGGAGCGCTGTGTGGCCCACAGCGGGGTCCACTGCTGAAGTTAGTAAGCTGGATTGGGGGGATGTGCTCTCAAGACCTCGGACACCTGGCGAGGTTTCTGCTTCTCTGTGGGCAGACGTGGGAGTGTGTTTGCCTTCATTGCTGGTGGAAGGACCTTGCCATAAAGGCTCCTGTCTGTGAACCGATGTTGCCCTGAAGCGAATTCCTGGTGGGTCTGTTCTCTCTGACGTCTTTACTAGTGATCTGGACAAAGCTGGGGGAAGTGGCTCTGTAATTCACAACTGGTGTGAACAAGTGGGCAGGCCCCATGCGATGAAGCATCGACTCAGGACATGGGAACATGAAGCTGGGCCAACCCTGACTTGGTGAAAGATGACGGGAAGAACCGTGAGGACAAGGGTGTCCAGGCGGCACCACACTTGGGATGTGATGGGCGGGAGCATCGGTGGAAACCTCTCCACCCCACCATGGCCACCGCTGTTCTCTGAAGAAGCCAGCTGCTTCGATCTTGGGAGGCGCTGGAGGACGTGAGGCCTGGCTGGCCCTGTGCCACCACCTGCTAGTCCAGGGTCCCTTAGAGCCCAACAGGACACCCTGGTGACAAAGTTATGTGTGAGAATGATTTTTTTTTTTTCCTTTAAGAAACTTACTCTTTCTGGGGCACCTGAGTGGCTCAATAAGTTAAGTGTCTGCTTTCAGCTCAGGTCATGATCCCAGAGTCCCAGGATTGAACCCTGTGTGGGGCTCCCTGCTGAGCGGGGAGCCTGCTTTTCCCTCTGCCCTTCTGCCTGCTTGTGCTCACTGTCTCTCAAATAAATAAATAAAATCCTAAGAAAAAAAATGCAAGTTAATGAAACAGCATTAATCAACTTCTGACTAGATATATAAATTGGGAATTTAGTGTCGGATAAACATGGCATTTCAAAGGAGAAGCGTTTCAGATTGTTGTCCAAATATATGGTATTGGAGCATATGGTCATCCATATGGCAAAAATGAAGTTATATTCTTGCCTCATACCACATACAAAAACAAGTTCCCCCAAAATTAAAGAACTTTAAAAATATGAGAATACTAGAATGATTGAAGAACATTTTGTATTTATCATATTTGTAGAAATATTTTTATTTATTGACATGCTAATACATTTATGTTATTATTATAGTTTTATTTTGTGAGAGGTAATATATAGGAACAAAGCACCTAGGAGAGAGCAGAGTAAGTGCTAAATGTGTTTTGGAGTGAAGAAGAACTTTCTAAAATAGACATAGTTTTCAGAAGCCATAGGTGAAAAAAAATCAACCATAGGCTCATAAGAATTAAACGTTTCTAGCCAAGCAAAGGTTAAAAAAGAAAAAAAAAATTATGTCCCACTGGGAGAAGTATTTGCAACATCTCTAGCACAGGTAATAGTCATAGTAGACAGACTTCTAATAATAAGAAAAATACTTAGGCACAGTTGGATGACGGAAGACGGATAGAGTTCTCAGAAGTGCATGAGACCTGTGTTTAACCTTACGGTGGGGAAACAACATGGCCGGGAGTCTGGAATCCAGACAGGCAGGAGTTACCTGGGTGGGAATCCCTGCAGGTCAGGGCGCCCTGCCCTCGGCCTGTGGACTCCACAGGTACTAGCTTGTGACTGGGCAAGTGGCTGAAACCTCTTGCCTCACTTTCCTGTGTTTGGGTCAGTCCGCAGGGCGCCTGCTTTATGGTGTGTGGTCGGAGGGTAGTTGCATTACCGGTTGTAGAGCACAAAGATAGTCGGCCCACGGTACGCTCCACACAGATACTGCCTGCTGTTCTGATCTCTGTTCATACCACGCCTGCACAGTTTTCAGCTGGTGAAAGTTAGAAGATTATATTAATACATGGTGTGGTTGAGGATGTAGTGGTGGGAATTGTCCAGTTCTTTTAAAGGGTATCTTGGAAGTCCTTCTCAAAATTAAAGACGGGAATATTTTCCTGATCCAGTAGAAAGCTGAAACAGACATGACCGTTGTCTTCAAATACAAGGTCTGGAGAGGGGGAGGAGGAAGCTGTCCTCTGTGGCTGTAGGACTGACTCATGGGTGAGAAATTTGGAGTGATAGACCTTGGGTCTGAATAAGGAAGGAGTCTCTCTCATACAGGATGGTTCCAAGATGATGTGGATGGTCCAGGTAGATAGTGAGCTCCCCATCACAGGAGGTGTGCAAGCAGAACTGGTCAACCAGTTCTCAGGGATGTTGCTGAGGATTCCACTGGATGCCCCCATGGCTACTACCTGGCCTAGCTTCCCCGATAAGGAATAAACCACACCATCCCAGGTCTCCCGCCCAGCCCCTTACTGGCCTAGCGGCTGACCCAACATGTTCACAGGCTTGAGCTTCAGGAGCCCCCCAGCCTAGCCTGGCTGTCGTCGCTGCCTCTGTGAGGCCCCTTGCACTGCATACAGTGTGCCCTCCTCCAGCTGGAGGAGGTTCCTGTCCCTGTTTGCCCTTGAACAGACTCTACCTTCGGGGGCCTTCTTCTCGGCCCTGGGAAGCCAGGGGGACATTGCACGCAGTTTTGGGACCAGATATGCCTCTCCTGGAGCAGGTACTGATCCAGACAAATGCGTTTGCTGGTTTTCCTGCCCCCCTCGCAAGTGGCCTGTTGGAGAGCCTTCCGGGATTGTCGTTTAAACTCCGGGGCAGCAGCGGCCTTTGTGGTCACGTGCCCGGCACTGGCTGGGGGCCTGGGTTGGCTGCAGCTGCCCTGTAGGTTTTCAGCGCTTTGAACCTAAGTCAGGGCTAGAAATGCCCCAGATGCCCCTCTGCTGTTTTGGGGGGCTGCAGGAAAAAAGACCCCTCCTGGGGGGGGAACTGTGTACAAAGATCCTTCGCTCCCACTTTGCCACGTGAGCCTCTCCAGGGCTGGGAGACAGCCCTTCTACCCACTTTACAGATGGGAAACCGAAGCTGTAGGAGCAAGTTACCGGCCTCTGCCGGCTCTGAGTCCCTGGCACCTTTGGAGTAAATGGGCCAGGGGTGAGCTGCAGTGAGTGTGGCTGCCCCAGGGCCCCGGGGAGCCTTCGGGAAAGGGCTGCTGTGTGATGCCCTGCTCCAGACCCCATCCCCAGGGTGGCCCTTGGCACTCGGCCCAGCTACGCGAGGGCCCCGGCTGCTACATCTGGGCAAGCCTGCGGTGCCTCCAGTACTGTAGGGACCCAAAAACGTGTTTTCACTTCTTCTATAATCAGAAAATAGAGCGAACTTCTAGGTCAGAGTAGATGTTTTAATAGATGCTATTAATATATCAACACAGTTGTATAATACAATTTTTAGTAATTTCTGTGGAGGAAGGGCCCACAAAGGCCCAAGTTGTAATGTGGGCACCGGGACTCGCACCGGGCCCCCGTGTGGCTGGACCCACCCCAGAGCTGGCCTCACTCCCCTCCCCGCCCAGTACGCACCCCTGGAGCCCAGCAGAGCTGCCTGCTTCTGGCGGGTTTTCCCTTTCCAGGGATTATGGCTCTGAAGGCAAGTGTCTTTGGGGCAGTTTCAATACAAATACGGGGATGCATTTAAAAATAGAACGTTCAAAGAGAAATTCCCAAACCACAGATTTTAAGTGTGCAGCTCGTTCAGATAGTTGTGAAATCAGAGCCTCGGCCATGGACTTGGCTGGGGCAGCCTGAGGCACTGTGCACGCCCCTCCCCTGTGTCCCCAGCTGCCCTGGCCCCATTGCCCCTGCCGCCCCATGGGGCCTGCGCACCAGGCCTGGCTCGTCTCCTGCAAAACCGTTTCTGTGTGTCCCTGTCTTTACAGCTGCCCTGACAGCCATGTGGGGCTAAAAGGCCTGGGTCCCTCTGCGGCAGGATGAGGAAGGTCACAGTTTGTAAGGGGCAAGGTGGTCTCTGGGGTGAGGTGGACCATGCGTGTTGGGGTTCCCCTCACTATCCCCTCAGCCACGGGGTGCCTCCTGCCCCTCCGGGCTGCCCACAGATCCCCAGATGGTGACACCCCAGGTCGCTTGCACAGGGCTGGCTGGAGCTGTTCGTTCCTGCGAGGGTTACCCTTCGGGAATTTTGGGGAGACCTTACAGTAAAAACAAAGGCAGTCGATCCTGAAAATGCGTCACTCAGTGACCTTCCACATTTTCCGCTTGTCAGAGCCCCTGAGGCTCTTTGTAGCCCGATGGCTCATCTCTCTCCTGCGGCTGGTCCAGTCCCGTCCCCTTCAGCCCCGGCGGGAGTCTGGTCCCACGGACGGTGACGGTGCGTGCTGGCTTGGGATGCTCTCCCTCTCTACCGCCCCGTGGACAGCACAGACACACGCAGGGATGCCTTCCCGGATTCAAAACTACCT